ACCATCCCATTGATGTTCCAAGACATGATTCTGAGGTCTGTCTGCCTACCTCTTGAAAAACGTATTGTCCTTCTCCTCCTCTCTATCACCCCTCCCGGTGTCCCCTCTATAACCTATTTTGGAGTGTCTTTTATTTTAGGGAGAGTAGAGTTTTAACTTTTAAGCCAATTCCAGAAATTCCAAAATAGAAAGTCTCCTAGACGAAAACGATAACCCCGCCACAGAAACCACACAATTGATCAACATAGCTACCAATTTCTACAAAGAACTTTACACTAGGAAAATGCCAACAGAAAACAACAACGAAGTGACCAGAGCCAGAGCTAAATTCCTGACTCGCTTGGATTGTAACCTCTCAGCGGACGTCGCCAACAAACAGGAGGCACCAATCACACTCGAAGAACTTCGCGTATCCCTTAAGGACCTAAAACCCAACAAAGCACCAGACAAAGATGGCCTCTCAAAGGAATTCTGGGCTGCAAGCTGGCCCTCACTTGGCCCCCTTTACTTGCATTTCCTTGACAAGGTATGGGAACACAAATCCTTGGGGCCAGACCTGAGCACCAGAGTAGTGACCTTACTCTACAAGAAAGGAGACAGAAAGAACATAAAAAATTATAGACCTATCTCCCTTCTTAATGTCACCTACAAAATCCTGGCCAAACTCCTAGCCACAAGAATCAACCACATCACTGACAATTGTTTCCATCCAGACCAAACAGGCTTCATCCTAGGCAGACTCATACTAGATGACGTTACGACCCTCTGTGAGTCTACCGGGCTCATCACCCAGAAACGAATAACGGCAGCAATACTCTTCCTCGACTTTGAGAAAGCCTATAACCGTCAACTGGGATTTCCTACAGACTTGTATGGAGAAAATGGGAGTATGCCCAAACTTTCGTGAATGGGTGAGAATCCTCCACAAGGATGCACAGGGCATAGTCCAGGCAAATGGCTTCCTTTCCAACCCATACAAAATGTCAAGATCGGTAAGACAAGGTGACCCTTTGGCAGCCCCCATTTTCCTTTTCATTATGGAAGCAATAGCAGCCTTCCTTAGAAAATATAAATCCATAGAAAGATTGGATAGCATCCAAGACAATAGGGGTCACACACTTCACCTCCCATCTACCGACTTTTCGCAGATAACCTTACGGTCCTTATAAGAGCCTCTAATTCTTCATTCCAAGCCCTCACAAGAGTCATGCAAGCCTTTCAATAAGCATCAGAAATGAAATTAAACTGGACCAAGACAGTCGGATGGTGGCTAGTAGACTCACCCCCTCCCATAGAACCATCCCTAGAAGGGTTACAATGGTCAGACCCTACCACACCAACCCGCTTCCTAGGCATCAACCTCTACACCAAAGGATGTCACCCCACGTCGGCCTCATCCCTTATGTCGTCACTGGTCAACAAAATACACAGTTGGCAAGGAGTCCACACCTCACTTCTCGAAAGAGCCTTAGCCCTGAATAACTTCATCCTATCAATGATGTGGTATTCCACATCGATATGGTTTCCCGCTTTAGACTTCCAAAGGCAGATTCGCCACAGGGCAGCAGCCTACCTATGGACAGGCAACCCGGATAAACAACATTTCATCCACAAGGTCGCTTGGCAAATCGTCACTCAGTCCAAAGACAGAGGAGGACTAGGAATTCTAGACCCGGCTAGCCAGATCGAGGCTCTGCAAACTAAATGGATAATCAGACTCCCCTTGCAAAATAACCTACAATGGGTACCACTGACCCTAAGTCACATCAAGGACTTGGCACCTTATAAATCCCCACCCAACATGTCAGGCCTCTTTTGGATCTATAACAAGTCATTGCCAAGGGAAAACAACAACAACAACCCCCACCACAGTGCAGACGAGGAAACAGAGAAACGAAACACAAAATCATTATGGGAACAACTCATCCACATATGGAGAAAAATCTTCCCACAGAATAAAATCGGTCCAAAGAAAAAAGATGAAGTTCTCAGGCAACCCCTCTTCGGCAATCCATGGATCAAGGACAAAAATGGCCTCAGCTTCTCCCTCACCAAAACAAACATCAAATGGGGACATTGGGTAGAGAAAGGTGTATGGCAAGTCCAACATCTCTGGAATGAATCAACAAACAATTGGAAGACTGCAAAGGACCTACGGAACCCACTAAAAGGTTGCCACAACCTGCAGGCCAACATCACCCACATCATTGAAAGCATACCTCTAAAATGACGTCAATTACTGAAGACTAACCAAAAATGGATGTGGGGAGAGTGGGCAACGAACAGAGAACAAGCACAACCCTCAGAAATACTAAGGGGGACAAACAGCAACCTACAAAATAAAAATTGGATACTCTGTTCCATCCGTCCCCTACAGGAACCAGGAAACCCAGCTAGTTTCATCAGCAAAGAACCAAGAGCAGAAGCGGCTTTCAAATCATCCAACCTCAGAAGAATCTGTGTCATAGAAGGAGACAGAAACAAAGTGTATTGACCCGAAACAGAAATGAAACACCTGGAAATAGATCCATTTGAATGGTCTTGGAGCAGAATCAAGCCGCATTCCACAAGAGAACACCGCTATGCACTCACCTACTACACACCCAAATTAGGCTACAAGCTTCACAACAAACCCCCTTCCATACACACGATCATACACAAACGATGGGAAAAGGAGGAAAATACTATCACAACAGTCAACTTCAATCCATCATGGGCCTCTATCTTTAGCACCAGACCACCCAAACTAGCTAGCCTGCTATGACTCATAACCTTTCAAGCAGTACCTGTCAACCTCTGGCTAGCGCGAAGAAGAAAGAAAGATAATGACACTGAGCAAATATCCTGGTGCAGGGTGTGCAACGCCCAACTTGAAGAACCACTCAATCATTGCTTCATAGATTGCCAAAAGACAAAGCAACTCTGGTACGATATAGAATTAACCTAGAAAAAACACTCTAATAAAACAATCGCAATCAACCCAGGCACCCTGTTTTTAGAAGTAGGACAAGACCCACCTCTCGAAGGTTTCGAGCTTTTCTTCTTCTTACTCATCAAAACATCGACCCTTGGGCTATCTGGAAAAGGAGATGCAAAGCAACCTTCGAGGAGTCTAGTAACACCCCTAAAAACCATCTTGTAGCCATTAAACGAATGGCGAATACCGAAATCCAAGCATTATGGAACAGAACACACACAAAACTCCAGTCCCTACACAATGCCCCAGATAAGAAACAAGAGGTCATTAATAAATTCCATTCCCTGTATCTAGGCAACGGGAAACTAGGAACAATAGAAAGAGAAACACTACGCTTAAAAGACTGGTTAGTTATACCTACATCAAACACCCAAAACACTATCACTCTGACGCACTCCGCACGCGCAAACACCCTACCTCCTATCCACTTATTGGAACAGATACCGCTCTATGAACCTCTCTATTAACCCAGCCTAACCACCTACGATCGCACCCCCTCCAACCACCGCCCACCATCAAACTTCTTCCGAACTCAACCTCACCAATCTAAATACCTCACCATCCCGCAGGTCTCACTCCCACAACACAAACCCAACTCACCTACGTCATCCGCACCACACTAATTCCTAACACCACCAACCACCAGCATGAACACTCCAAGCTCCCGACCTCAACGCGCCGTCTGCCTTCCAGAACTCTCACATAACTTGGATCTTAAACCCTAGAACCGTTTCGACAAATAGAGAGCAGCCGATGGGCAGGGTAAGCAATACCCAAAATTTTAATTGGAGAGGAAACAGCACAAATCAGATCAAACGCAACCCAGTTCTTTCAGCTACACCAGAATGACAGACAACCAAGGAGGAGAGTCTTGTTAAACAGTAAGGCATCAGAACCCGAAGGAGTCAAGATCTGCAATCCCCCATTCACACCAGCAAGGTCATGGAGCTCACTTATGATAAGTCAAATAGGGATCGGGGTCCAACATAGGTCTCCAACATAGGTCTCCACCAAACGCCCCTTCCAACAGTTCTGACGTCAGGGGACATAGCTGACAGGTAGAAAAACAACAACACAACCGAGATTTTAGGGTTAAAAATCTAGACTGAAACGGGATAAGAAAGGCTTCAGAGTTTTTAGAAACCTCCAAAACAGCACATGCACCCCAGACCGCTCTTGTACAACACATCAACTCGACAGCTCCACAGCCGAGAGGAACAGAACAGGGGCCAGACAGTTCGGAAACAGCCAGGCAATATAAGTAGCACAGGCTAACTTAGGCAGGGGTGAGGGGTGGTACATCCTCAGGGAAGTAATCAATGTCGTCCACTCGGACCTCCCAGCCATAATGGGGAGCAGCGTGTGTGAGTCATATATGTATCCCAATTTGACTTGCCGGGGGAATAGGAACCGGACTGTTGCTCCCCAGAATGGCAGCAGCCAGAACCAGGAGGTTCTGTTTTATCTTTGAAAAAAAAAAAAAAAAAAAAAAAAAAAAAAAAAAAAAACAGAGATGATTTTCGGTGTGGCGCACGGGCAGGTTCTGCACGCACCATATGGACGTGCGGCTTGTGCGGTTGCAAGTACGACGCAAACACATACATACCCATCCCCTTTTTTTTTTTTTTTTTTTTTGATATACCCATCCCTACCTTAGTAGGGAGAGGCAAAATGTCGGTGCATGATAAGCTTTTCTTTCCTTTTCTTTTTTGCCGTTTCTTGAACTTCTTTCAGGGCCCATGCTAATCTTGTCTGCATCGTCCCAACTTCAACAGATGTCCCAAAGGACTGCAAGACAATTTTGCTTTTCTTTTTCAAATGATGAAAACCAGGGTGGCCATTTTTCTTCAAAAAGAGTGCGGCCGTGCTAATCTTGTCTGTGTTGCTCCAACTTCAACAAATGTCCCAAGGGACTGCACAACAATTTTGTTACCTTTTTTTTAACGCTGGAAACCAGGGCGGCCTTTTTTTCGTAAAAAGAATGCATGAGAAGCTTGAAAACGGGGCAACAGGACATTTGCCGGGACATATTGCTTGTTTGTTGGCTGTTACAAACCTGAGAATGCACGAACAACAAATGTGAAAGTAGCTGGAAATCTGAATGGCTGATCCACAGCAATGGACAGCAAATCTTCACCTGCGATTTAAAACAAAAACGAAATACGCGATGAATTTATGAACACAAGGAGAGAGACATCACATACAACCAAATATCAGAAACCAAAAGCAGGACCTGCTTCACCCCTTATTTCCTGATACATGCTCAATCGAGCAATGCACGAGGAGCCAAGAATCTGCAAAGTGATGAAATGGACTCGACTGGACAATGCAGTGTCAGCAAAGCGTCAACAACAGTGTACATCCAGATACATACAAAGATGGCACGAAGTAGCGCAACAGAAGACTCAAAGATAGGACCTGACCTGTCAGATACTGACGCGACATCCCATCATACAAGTCTATCCTAATCGTAAGTTGAGTTGCACACACACATGGGGAAGATACCACGGATGAGAGATGGGGGGAGAGGCGAGACGAAGATGGAGGTGAGGGAGAAGACAAGACCGCGATAGCGAAGTCCAAAACAGTCTCCCTGTCGAAAATCCAATCAAAGCCTTCCACCAAAAATGTCGGATCAGATCCCGGACATCATGCCCAAAGTAACCTCTGCCAGTAACCTCTCTCTCTCTCTCTGGAGGAAGAAAAAGAAGAAGAAGAAGAATAAGAAGAAGAAGAAGAAGAAGAAGATGAAGGAGGAAGAAGAGGGGGGAGGGCGAAAACAGATAGAAGAAGAAGAAGAAGATGTCGTCCTCCTCACTGTCTCACCTGCAGGTAAGTACTGACATCGCCGGCGTACGCTGTGCTGCAGGTCACTGGAGCCAGATCCAGCTATGGCGCCCCAGTCGGCCACAGTGGCGTCCTTCGGGTGCCTCCCCAGCGGGCGCCACAGTGGGCCAGGGCCCCATCCATTTCGGAAGGAGCTAGCGAGAGATATCTTGCTCAAGGCTGAACTCCGCGGTCGAGACCCATACGAGGTCGTCGGTGCGGAATGGACAAGGAAGACGCTGGTGTCTGGCCTGTTGGTGCATACGTTGCTGCGTCTTCGACATCTGGCCGCGCGCCTTGACAAGCGGCTCTTGCATCCGATGAATGAAGAGAAGATAGTCATTGCTCTCCGTCGCTCGTGGGATAATCGTGTCCAGCGGAGAAGTGACCGGCGAGCCATGCTAGAACTCAAAGGGTGACATCCCGATAGTCGGATGAAGAGACGAGTTGTATGCCAACTCGACATCCAACAGCTGCTCAACCCGATCCTTTTGGTCGGGACGGATGAGAGTGCGAAGTAGGACCTGTGCGGTCTGATGCGCCATCTCTGTTAAACTTGGCTTGAAAGATGAGCCCCTTCATTTGATGAGCGCCAACCAAAAATCGGATATGAACCGAGTGTCGAGGTCGCAAACGATTTCCTTGGGGTAACCCTTGGTTCGAATCCAACCGGCGTAAAGGACCTCGGCCAATTCCGGTGCCTTGGCATGATAGCGGCAAGGCAAAAACATGGCAAACTTGGTGAGTCAGTCAACCACCGTGAGAATCCCATCCACACCAGTCTTGTGCTTGGGGAACAGCCTGATAATGTCCATGGCAATCGCTTCCCTTCGGCACAAGGAAACCGGTAATGGTCGCAACTCGCCATACGGATTTGCAACGTCGGCAAACCTCGCACGACTCGCAATAGTGTGTGACGTCGCCGAGAAGACCGGGCCACCAAAAGCGCTCGTGGAGTCGGCCAATCGTACGATTGACTTCAAAATGTTCGGTGGCAGGAGCGTCGTGGAACTTGCCAAGAAGCCGCGTGCGCAAGTGTGAATCTCACGGCACACAAAGAAGATCCTTCCCCCACGAGTGGACGAGCAAACATCCCTCTTAGATCCCATAGTGCGATGGCGCCGGATTGGGAGAGGAACAATTCGCATACTTGTCGCGAAACTCGGAGTAGGCATGGTAGCCGCGGATGAAGCTGTCCCACAAGTCGTCGTCAATCTTAAAAGTACAGTAGACTGCGGTACAATGGTCCGGACGCCGCGAAAGAGCATCCGCACAACGGTTTGACTTGCCCGGAATGTGGTCGGGGTCTTCAACAAGACCCAAGACATGGTCAACGGGCAATGGTGTTATTGACCATGTCTTGGGTCTTGTTGAAGACCAACGGATTGTTATCCGTTACCCATCAAAACTGCCGCCGACCGAGAAAATGCCGCCAACGCTTGAGCGCGCGTATGAAGGCCAATAATTCCTCCTTTCGTGCGTCGTCAATCGAGTGCACGACGGGCACTTTCTTGCTAAAGTACTCGATCGGGTGCCAGTCCACGCCATCATGTTGCTCGACGACAACACCTATGCCATAGCCGGACGCATCGGTAGTGACTCGTGTCGGCAAAAGCAAATCGCAGATGTGCAACACCTCCGCGGATAGCAATGCAACTTTGACGGCCAAAAAGGAAGCCCGCGCATTGTCATCAAAGTCGAATGGCTGGTCCTCGCATTAAAGCTTGGATAAATGGGCCGCGATCTTCGAGTACCCCTTGATGAAGCATTGATAGTAGCCGGCTAAGCCAAGGAAGGAACGAACATTTGTGACGTTCTTCGGCTTCGGCCACTCTTGGATGGCTTGGATCTTGTCCGACAATGGACTTACGCCCTCCAGTATGACAAAATGGCCCAAGTACTCCAACTCTTGACGCACAAATTCGCACTTGTCGCGGTTGGCTTTGTACTTGGCATGACGGAGCATCTCCAACACATATCGAAGGTGCTCGAGATGTTCCTCCAAGGTCCGGCTATAGACGAGAATGCCTTCCAAGTGGACCAGCACAAACTGGTCCAACATTGCGCGAAACTCGTTGGTCATCGCCACTTGAAAAGTCGGTGAGGCATTGGTGAGGCCAAAGGGCATAACAACCCACTCAAAATGCTCGTAACGTGTCTTGAATGCGGATTTGTAGCGATCTTGTGGGCGTCTCGAGATCTGATGATAGCCCGACTCCAAGTCCAACTTCGAAAAAAAATTGTGCCGCCCAAATGCTCGAGAAGGTCGTCAATGCGCGGAAGAGGTTCCACATTCTTGACGGTTTGTGCGTTGGGCTTGCGGTAGTCGATGCACAAGCGGAGATCCTTGTTCTTCTTTTGTACGAAGAGAACTGGCGTACTGTATGGTAAGCTAGCCCTTGTCCAACAGATCATCAAGTTGTGGGCGGAGAACCGCAAGCTCTTCCTCGCTCATGCGATAGATGTTTCCTTTCAGTGGCACGACACCGGCCTCAAGAATGATCTCATGGGAAATCAATTGATCCGACACCACACCGGTAGGAGACTCGAAGACGTCGGTGAACTCATCGAATAACCGCGCCACTCAGTCCGTAGGTGAAGATTGGGTCACCGCGACGGTTCATAGAAAACGTAGGCTTATCTCGTCAGTCCGCTCGTAAGCGCACGTGCCCCGAAAAAACTTGGCCGTTACAACTTGGCACAAGATCGAAGGGTGCGAAAGAGGAATGGTACATATCACCTCCGCGTCGAAGGCGTCGCAAACAGTAAATGTCCGCCGATAGAAGTTAACCATGTAATCCACAATTGTAAGCCAAGACATCCCCAAAACGATGTCGAAGTCTGTGTCCAAGACGTCAAACATCACCGGTTCGCATGCATGAGGTGCAAAATAAACCGGCACGGCTTCGATGTAGCAATCGAGGAGTTGTTGAGTCCGAGCGTCTGCCAACTTGATCGCCGCCGGGTTTGGCTTCCTTCAAACTTGTACGCCAAGGCCGGCCCTTTGGATAAAGGATTGGCTGATGAAATTGTGAGTCGCGCCGCTATCTAGCAAAGCGTTGCAGGACGCTTGCCCAACTTGGATGCGGACATAAAGGAGAGGTGCGTTGTTATCATCGTACCGCTGCGTGCGAAAGTCGCAAGCCACCTTCCTAACATACGCAAGGATCTCCCCCACCGCAACTTAGTCATCCGTCGGCGAAGATGGTGGTGCATAAAAGGCTAAGTATGTGTGGAGATGGGTGCATAATGTTGCGCATTGAGGTTCCGGTAAGCAGCCTGTGGAAGGGAGAGAAAGCCATACAAAATCCTCGGACGTCAACAGGTCCAAAACCTCTATGTTGAACTCATGCGTCAAATCCCTTGAAGAACCACTTGAAGACAATAAATTGTCGCTGCTTCCGGACGGAGAAGAAACCGCACACACATCTTGTCCTTGAGCTTGAGAACCTAGCAAAGGAACGAGCCGGGCAGCATAGTCCTCAAAAGAATATAAGAGAGGACTGTCGACTTCCACATGTGCCTCGGAATGAAGCGAGGTCGTTCGCGAAGCAACCGGCTCAGAAGGCATTGAGAGTGCAGCCGCATCACTCTCGTCGATGCTCACTTTCCCAAGGGAATTTGCCTTTGACTTGCGTGGGCACTTTGCGATGTCGTGCACTGCGCTGTTGCACTACAAACAGCATCGTTACTTAGTACGGATGCGGTAAACGCCTTCCGAGATACCGTAATGTGTCCACGGCTCTCGAGTTGCTGGGCCGGTCCCAGGGGATGAAGTGGTGTGTCTTCGGTTTGTCGCACCCTCGCCCTTTGGCGGGGCGGCCACCATCTCGGCCGGCTGCCAATCTGTCTCACTTATCAAAAGAGGCAGCCTCGTTTGAAGGGTCGGTCGGTGTAGTTGCCGCGACCATGGCCACTTTTGGTCGATGTTGATCTCTGCCCTGGCTCGCAGCAGACGAACGACCCAAATTCTTGGCTTCGGTGTTCGTCACGATGATCTGCGAGGCTTTATCAAACAGCTGCTCACTTGCGGTGAGCGTCTCCGCAACTTGCGTCAAGGCGTTCTGCAACGCCGGACAACTCCTCATGATGAAGAAGTGTTTGATGCCTATGAAGGTCATCCGCAAGTTGGGCGTGGACGCCAAACGTTGGTACTCGGTTATCCAGTCCGCACTCGACAGCATGTTCTTATAGAACTTGTGAAGTTTCTCCGCTGCCCGAAGCTCGGGCGGCTCCACTTGGAACCGCTTGTGCCATGCTGCTTTGAGATCAGGCCAACTGATCTGCATATGCAGCTCGAAGACTGGGACG